ATATACAATTGAGGCCCTAAAAGTGCCATGTTAAATTTAAATTAAATATTCTAAAGTTAAAACAGTACTTTAACTGTATAGACAAGATGTAAGTGAAAATAGTCCAAGTGTCAATACACTTAATTAGAACATTTAATGGCAACAGGTAAGAATTATGTCTTTATTTGCAACCTCACAGAATAAACTCCAGCTGTAACATTAGTGCATCACATCACTGGAAATCGAATGTATTTTCTTGATGATGCAGAAAATGTAATTATGTTACATTTGATCTTAATCTGCCGCTAAGTTTGTTTGATTTTTAGCTGATAGAAAACTGATAATAAAATTGATCGGTTCCTTTTTTGTAGGCTGTTAACATCATTTATCAATAAAATTCATTCCCTCTGATTGGATCACAAACTAAAGTGATTTTGCACCTCTCCTTTAGTAAACTACTGGAGAAAATCAGATCCAATCAGATGTAAAAATGCATGCATGTGTTCACAGCTGTTGGCTATTTTGACATATTAACAATAGTATATTAGTAAAATGATGCATGATGCAAAGCAAGAGCCAGAACACTAAAATCAGAAAAACAAAAATAATCCATTAGAAGAGCGAGACGGCAGGGATTGTTGTGGTTTCCATCAGCTGAAGTGATTTCTGTAAATTAAACCCAAAATGGGAGAACTGCCCATTAAATTAATGGATGTGATATTTAAATATTGACTTTATGACAAAATATAAATATAAAATCAATATTGCTACTCAGAGATACATACCTCCTGGGATTTTGGTTCTTGAAATATTGTTGTGGTTTTTTTCCCTGGTTTTCTGAAAGTATGTGACTAAAATAAGCACCAATACCTTTTAAATGTTTGACTTTTATTGTTTACAACTTTTGAAAGTCTAATTTCCTGTTTCCAGTCTTTTACGTGTAACCGCAACATCTCACATTTCTAACCGTTTCTCTTCTAGCATCCATTCCAAAGAAATTTTCCACTCTTTGTCCATCTCCTTCTCGCGGTGCTGGGAGTTCCTGCTGTGGATGGACCCTGCCAACTATGGTGGCGTGAAGGGCAAACTGCCCTCCAGCGTCATGTATGGAGAGGTACTGCCAGATGCTGGAGGTTTCTTCCTGTTAAAAGCGAGCTTTTTCTTCCCACTGTCGCCAAGTGCTTGCTCATACAGGGATGTCTGATTGCTGGGGGTTTGGGGTCTTTATCTTACAAACTACAGCACCTTGAGGCGACTCTTTTTGCGATTAGGCCCTGAACTGAATCAATCTCCAATGTTGTTGTTTTGTTTTTGTTTTTTGAAGGAAGGAGCCCAACAGAAGAAAACCAGACAAGAGGAGGGGGATGAGGATGGCAGTGAGGATGAAGATGAAGAAAATGCTGAGGAGGACGACGGAGATGGAGAGACGGATGAAGTAGAGGATTTGATTGAGAGTAACTGGAATATCATGCAGTATCTTCCTCAAACCGCCTCCTGTCAGAAGTACTTCCTCATGATCGTCTCAGGTAAAAGAAGGAAAATCTCCCAACATTTTTTTTTCTTTGCTTTCTAAGTTACTAACTCTCAAAACACCTTTACCTTGCCAGCGTACATTGCAGCGGTCTATCACAGTATGAAAGAGGAGCTGAGACGTAACGGCCCAGGAGCAACACCAGTAAAGAGACGTGGCAACAGCCAGGCTTCCCAGCAGGCAATTGGGGATCTGAGTGCACTTCCTGGTAAGAAGCTGATCAGGAAGCTGTTGTATGTGCTAAAGACTTCTGTTGTATTTCTCTGGGACTGCAGATTACGCTCAGCCGAGTGTTTAATGTTTACGGATTTAAAAATTCTCTTCCACAGGAATGATCTCCTTCTCCCAGGAGTACGTGTCCAGCGAGCTGACACAGAACATTTTCACCATCACTCAGAAAATCCAGAAGAAGGTCACTGGTACCAGGAGTGTTACCCACACCTCAGAGATGTTCCCCATCCTGCCTGGGTCACACCTTCCACTCAACAACCCAGCACTGGAGTTTATCAAATATGTCTGCCAGGTAAAAAAGAAAAGAAAAGAAATCTGCTCCTTTCTGCAGCGGTTATTTATATTTCCCCCATCCCTCCCTTGTTTAGGTTCTTTCACTAGACGCCAACATTGTAAATCAGGTGAACAAGCTGAAGAGAGACCTCCTACGTCTTGTGGATGTTGGAGAGTTTTCAGAGGAAGCCCAGTTCCGTGACCCGTGTAACTCCTACATCCTGCCAGAGGTTATCTGTCACCACTGCAATTTCTGTCGGGACCTTGACCTCTGCAAGGACCCGTCAGTGGCACAGGTAAGAGTACAATAACTCCTGATAATCACATTTCGAAACTGTGAAAGTCAGAAATCTAAATGAGATAAACTTGTTATCTTTTCCTCAGGATGGTTCGGTTTTGCCTCAGTGGTTCTGTTCCAACTGTCAGGCGCAGTATGACACCGAGTCTATTGAGATGGCTCTGGTAGAAGCTCTGCAGAAGAAACTGATGAGCTATACGCTGCAGGATCTGGTGGGTAAAATAATGCTCAGTATATCAAAACACCTGGCAAAATTTAAGCAATGAAATGATAAAAAAAAATGCACTCACTACTTCTGGTTGTTTGTTTGTTTGTTTTTCTTAAAAAAGCAAAGTTTTCCTGGCAGTAAAATCTAACTTGCATGCTTTTTGACAGCCCATTTTCCAGAAGGTGCCTCACAGGTTTTGTTCAATTTCAGGTGTGTAGCAAATGTAAGGGAGTGAAGGAAACCAACATGACCCTCTACTGCAAATGTGCTGGAGACTTTGACCTCACCTTCCCAGCCAAGGTTCGTACTTTGAAGCACACGGCACCATTCTGTTCAGCGATGAACGCATATTATTGACACTGCTGTTTTTGGTCTGTTTACAGAGCTTCTCTGAGCAGATCACGGTGTTTAGGAACATAGCATCCCACTACAACATGAGCTTCCTGGAGGAGACCATAGGCTGGCTGCTCGTTATGAGCCCTCAGATCAACCAGGGTGTTCACTGAATATGAGCTTCACTGACACTTCCTTCGCTCCATCCAAATCAGGAAACGGAGTGCTGAAATTCATTTTTGAGTTTTAGCAAACTTCAGCAGCATCGGTCTCTGCTTCTTGCTGTGTGATTGTGTAACCAAGATGATTCCCCTGTAAATATGTTTAGATTGTATTAGTTATGCATGTGTATGAAGATTTTCACTGATAATAAATGTGTTTTTCATGTGTCTTGGTCTGCTTGTGATTGCTGCAGTTCTGTATTTTTCCTAAATTACATCTACTCTGTCGTTACGCTGTCTCAGTTTTCTCCTCCCTCCCTCGGCTGCTAATGTGTCTGCTGTAAATTGCGCACAGCTTCAATTACATGACCTGCATCCACTCTAATTTCTTCTGCTGTGAAACGTGACTAATGTTGCCTCATTGCATGTTGCGTAATCTTTCATTGTTTCTTTGGTTTGGCGACAGTGAAAAAGACTTTGACAAATCTAACTTCCTTTTTTTATTGAGCAAATTTGAACCTTGCAGACTGAAAAAGATGAATTTCTGGCTGGTTGGAAATTGTTTGTTTTTTTGTCGTTATCCCATATGGGAAATATGTATCTGGTAGTGAACGTTATGTATGTCTGCTTTAGAATTGCCTTAATCCACACATCCCCTTCACTTTAAGTTCATTGTTTCACAGATGACTCACGTTACCTCCTGGTGGGCGTCTCCCAGACAAGTAATCACATTTCAGACTTAACTGCTGTACAATCAGATTCACTTCTTTGAGGTTCTCATAGACATGCTCTGCATGTATGTTGATAAAATGAAATGATGAGAGCAATTTTGTGCTCTTACATGACTTATTTGCATCAGGATCTCAGCAAATGTTACATTTAGTTAGTATGGTTTGTCAGACAAATTACAAAAAGCTATTTAAGCTGTATGCTGTGAATCTTCGCAATTTTCTTATATGGTGCAAGTCTACAGTTTCCAAAATGAAGTGACTTTCTGCCAACCTTCATAGCAGATATTGATCATTCAACTTGAGTCTTAAATTTTTGTGGGTTTTTTGTTGTTTTAAACCACTGACATCTGTATTGCTCCTTGGCAACCAGATGGATTCACACTTCCCCACAATCTTGTTACAGGAACCATTTTATGGGAAATGTCTGCATTATTCGATTACTGTTCATTGCCCTCCTTGTGTTTCTCCTGGTAGTTTCCTCCTGTGTGCTGAGCACATCAGACTGAAAGAAGGAAATGAATCAGAGCCTTCAGATGCTTCAGTTTTATCTTTGTCACAATTTCATGATTTTGTTTTTCCTTTTGAAAAAGTCCCACCAGTCTTTATGTTTGAACCAAGTTAAAGGTTATTTATTGTTGGATTGAATGTCTACAATACATCGACATATGCTGTATGGTTTTTATTTTTTGGTAGCACTTTAGAATAATGCCATACTATCAAACATTATTAAGGTATTAGCAAGTGCCCAAATTCATCATTTACATAGCATTACTCCTCCTTAGTATGGCCTTTATAAATACTGATATATTATTATGACTATGATTATTAATAGCAGTGATGTGGTAGCAGTGATAGCTGTGCATGATGGATAAACATCTGTATTTATAAACGGCATACTAAGGAGAAGTAATGACATACAAATGATGAATTAAGCACTTACTAATGTTTCCTAGTGTGGCGTTGTTATAAAGTGCTGCCAGTCTTTTTCTCATGACAGTGTACTGAAATGGTTTCCTGTTTTCAAAATAAACACATTCTCTATATGCTGTTAATATATTCTGAGGTCGTGTCAAGTTAAAGAGAACTAACTGTCTTATGCAAAGATTTCCACAGGGATCTCTTTCTTTTGCCCGTTTTTATCCCCACTAACATCAGCACAGTGTCAAAGTGAGCTGTCACTGACACCTGAGATGCAGTTGCTGTTTGCTACAGTTGGTGGTGGGGAGTCCATGCACTTGGCCAGCGAGGACTTTGGTCACAGCGGTACGCCGTCTGACAGGTCAGAATGGTTTGAGCCGAAGCTGTTGATGTAGCTGAGCTCTGTGGGTATGGGATTTGTGGGCTCCTTGATCACCTGTGAAAGGCAGAAGATGTTATTAGACAAACATATCTCACAAAATAGTCTCTAAAAATAAGAAAACAGTCACCAAAACACAGCTATACAGTTGTATGATTTGTGCCTGGAGCAAAGTAATGAAGCCAGTGAGCTTCACAACGTGTGTTAGAGTCTCATGGTTATTGTCCATAAAATGACAAATGTAGCCCTGACTTTGACCACAGTTAAAGTGAAGACCCATTAGCTGACCATTAAGTCTATGCTTGATTAAATCTTGAACAATATTGTAGGAGCAGCGATTCTTGTGAATTGTGAAAAGATATACAACAGACGCCTCCCCATGACCTCAGCTCATCAGTCCTTCAGGCTGATGAGCTAATAATTGACAGCATTCTCCACAAGACCTGGAGACAAACTAGATTTCTTCTCTGGATGGACGATTTCATTCTATTTATAAAAGTCTTCTACTGGATATAGAAGCAGATTCACAAAAACAAATGAAACTGAGTTGCGTTTAATGAATAACGCTCTCTTTTTTTTACTCACTTCATCAAACTTTCTCTCACTGTAGACTTCATTCTTGTCGATAAATGTCAGCATGATCCAGTCGCAGATTATTGTGCACTACAGAGAGGGGAGATGAAGCAGAATAACAGTTACACTAATTGAACGGTGCCGCTTTAATGTCTCAGGATAAAAACAAATTAGTCAATACTCACAATCCCAACAGAAGTCATAGCAGTCACTGTGCTGATGATGGTTGGAATAGGACTAAATTTACCAGCCTGCACAAAAATGACACACAGTTGTTATGGAGTTGTACATCTAGATAGATAGATTTTTTCTTTGTTCCCACACTCAGTAGACTGAAGCACTTGTTTATAGGGGGTCCTCTGATTGTTGCGGTGTTCCCTGTTTTTAGCTTACAGCACGTTGAGGTGACTGTTGTTGTGATTTGGCACAAATTGAATTGAAATATTGGGGGGAAAAAATCGTAGAAAATTGAAAATGTTTGTAATACTAAAGAGTTAATTCCTAATAAACAAAAAAAAACATAACATAAAAAAATATATTTTGATAGATACAACAATAAGCAGGTCTAAAGTAGAATCTACTCACATGTCCATGAACTATGATGTCTAGACGGATACCAAAGGCCTTGATTAGTGTCCGAGTTTCTTCCCCATCCTTACTGTAATATTTGGCAAACCTGTAGAATTACACATAAATTATTACAACAAGAAAAAAAACAGGTGAGCACAGCAGAAGAGCGTTTTAAAGACTGTTTTAAAAATAAAGTATAAAAGTCAGCGTTGGACGCCGGTGCTAACCTGTAATAATAACCAGCGTCGGGCAGATCCTTTCGGAGGTCAAGGCGACGGAACGAGTATGTGGGTTTACAGTGTGAGGGATCCAGATCCAAGTTACACTTCCAGTTGATGAAAACACCGATCACTCCTCCCTAAACTCAGACAGCATGACAGCAGTCATTTTTAACCCTCGTGGGTGCCATTCTTAAGACATCATGTAAACAGCAATAGCCCAGGAGAAGAATATAAAGTATTCAAACTTTATCAGTAACACAAATGAAATACGTGCCTGAGTACTTTCTGGGCAAATCCTAAAATTAATCTTGGGAAAATTCAAACACCAAGACACCAATCAGATTAGAATTAACTAATGAGAAATTTGGATAGAGACGGCACAAACCATAATGATATTACCACATAAGAATCTGCAAAACTATAAAATAAGTTTCATATTTACTGAAGTGTTACAATAGCTGATTTGGGACAAATTGCAAGAATGGCCTTTCTGTCTAAGTTTTATATGTCTATTTTATGTCTATATGAATTTTATTTATAGAGACATAAATTTATTCTAATTTCTATTGTAATTCTAAGATTTGTTCTAATTTTAGATTGCTGGCTGGGGGTTGATGTTGATCCACACATTTTAAAATGAGAAACACTCTCCACAAATGAAATATTGTGAACACCATGCAGTGCAGGCATCATACTCACGGTGTTACAGAGCTCACTAAAATTCTCCCTCGCTTGTGCTGCGATGTATCCCAAGCGGAAGATGGGACAGTAGGGGTCACGCTCCTCATCATAGTGACACTTATTCAGGTATCTCTTAATGTCTCGCTTGTTTCGGGCATCCTTAATGTTTCCCCTGCCAAAGACAAGAACATCAGTATCTGCAGCTTAAATGTCCAGAAGTATTAACTTCTATGTGACCCTACCTCAGCACTTTAAATTTGGGGAAGTGGATAGAGTTCCTGATGAACACTGTGAAATTGATGGCCTCCTCTAATGGTGGTTCTCTGTTGAAGACAGCAAATATTTAACATTTCCTTAAAGTGACCTTGAAGTGGTTCTTGCATCTGGTTCAGGTTACACAATTTGTTTGACTGGTTTGGTCATCATTTGGTCAAAGTAGTGACCAAGCAACTGATAATATCTTGTCTCCAAGGAAGCACAGTCGATCTGTTTTCTCACATAGAAAAGGTTCTTGGTTCTTTCAAAAAGCCCAAAATATGTGAACTTTATTGTGTTTTACTCATGTGGATGTGTCTTGATGACTAGTTTTTTTTCCAAGCTGTATTTAATGATGACTTAATATTTAATGCTTTACTAATTTTTCTGCTTTGCCACCTGTCTTTTTGTCAAAATCATGCATCAAGCCAAATCTCTTGTAAATTTTACTTTTCACTCTTGCTGCTATCATAGTCACAAATCACCTCTGACACCCTCCACCCTGCCTGCACTCTCCTCTTCGCCTCTCTTGTGCACTGTGGATTTAAATGTTTTTAAACAGGTTTTTAAACTCATCTTACTTCACTACCTCTCCTCCTTGCAGCTTCACTGTAACATCTGTTTCCCTCATTTACACACGCATTCTGTTTGCTTCCACTGACTTTAATATCTTTTTTCTCCAGAGCATACCTCCACCTCTTCAGGCGCTTTTCCACCTGCTGCCTACTCTGAGCGCAGATCACAATGCCTTCTGTGAACATTACAGTCCACAGAGACTCGTGCCTGACCCTATCTGTCGGCCTGTCCACCACTGCAAACAAGAAAGGGCTCAGAGCCAATCCCTAATGTAATCCCACCTCCACTTTAAAAACATCTGTCACTCCTACCACACAACTCATCCTACATATTCTTCACCGGCCTCTCAATTCCTGAAGACTACTAAAAGAAATTACAAGAAAGCTTGGCTGAGTGTGTTCAGTAAATACTGACTTTCAAGCTTGTTAGGACTGTACCATTTTGTTTTTGCCTTCATTTCCATGTATGTTTGCACATGTTTTAATAAATCGCTGCACCAATTCGTATTTTATTTCATGTTAGTTTCCCATGTTTTTGGATATTTAGGCTCAGTTTGAGTCTGTTTAGAACTTATATGGATTTTTAGAGCAATGCATATATACCTGACATGATGCTGATGATTCTGTAGCACCCATCTTACCGTACTACAGCGTATTCCTCAATCGGACACCAGCTTTGTATCTCACAGGTTTTAAAGGTGTGGTTGTAGTACTGAACACATCTGCCCGTCCTTCTGCCTGTAGGAAAGTGTTTGAAACAAAGGGTGGCAAATGCAAACCAAAAAAGGCATGAAGAAAAATTAGATGAGAAGTGAAAACATTACCGTGGCCACTGAAGTTGACTTCCCCTTCAACGCAGTCAGAATCGGTGGTGCAGTTGGCATTGGCAACATTAAAATGCTAAAGTGAATAGAGAAACATGTCAGTGATGGGAGGGAAAAGGTGTCTTTGTTACTCAGTAGATTTTAGTTGACCTCTCACCTCAGCACAGGTGCCTTGTCTCTGATTGAACGTGAATTCTCGTCTCAGTATTGTGCTAATCACATCGCCACCCTAAACAAAAAGGGGAAAAAAAGACTTAAAGTGGTTAACTCAAGCATGAGCTATGCAGCACAAGTTTAATGAAGAAATCACCTCTGAGGGTTGGGCATACTCCACAGTGTCCAGGATCTCATCTCCATGAATTGCTGAGCCTTTCATGAGAGTATAAACAGAGCTCTCTGGACGGGTTTCGCTCTCTTGGTATGCTTTCTGACTTATAAAGACATACCTTCAGGATGATAGAAGAGACAGCGGTAATATCACATTTTCTACCATGATGTCAGTTTTTATTGGAGGTGTCATGTTACACTGGATCTGCTCAGCCCTCTTTGCTGAAGCCAAGAAAAGGTGATGATGTACTTTAATTCAGGGCATTTAGTTTATTTCAAATCTGAAACACTTTACATCTGTTCTCCTTGGATAGCATTTAAATCTCTGATAATATAGAGAGGGGATGAGCCACACTCAGTTGGATTGTTGAATTTTATGCTGTTAATTGCAAATGAGATGCATTTCCTCCCCACAAAACTGCACTACATGAGTTCAAATTTAAAGCCGTAGTGTATTTATTTTATCTGCATGAATATTATTCATTAAAAAATCCTTTTAATTTTACTGTAATTAAATTTAAAAGAACCAACAGATCTAACAGAAAAAATGTAGAAAAGACAAAATAAACCTTTGAATTTCATATATTGTCCACACACCTGGTCATTAGACATGCAAAAGTACAAACATGAAGCTTACCATATGAAATAAGTGATCACAAGAAACTGAACACCCCTGTAAATTACGCCAAGAGTTCTGTTCTTAACCACCATCACCTTGGGGGTCTCATAGTCCCAAAAGCCATGAATATACTCCTTCAGGAAGTTATGTAGCCCCATGATGATTTTATGGCACGTTTCCGTCATATCCTCAGATGTTCTTGTGAAGTCTTACGATTGAATCTGTATATTTAGCTTTAAATATCTGTCATTGTGTCTTTTTCTCCGCTCCAGCCTGCATTTCTCTCAAGCATCCCTGGCACCAGCGAGTGAACGAGAGAGTAGGGGGTGGGGTCCTGATGTGGTTGAAGGCAGGCTTCGTTTTTTTTTATGCCACTCTATTCTGATAAATCAGCTTTATGCCTGGATCAGCTTCTCCCTGTACAAGACTCTTTTAACTTTCATTTTCTTGTTATTCGTTTTTTTATCTTTCTTTTTTTTTTAAATAATTGCTTACTTTGCACATAAACAGTTTTTAAATTGTTGATTTTAAATTGAAATGACTGGCTTTGACCCCTGTGTGTTGGTCTGGATGTTTATGGTCAACTGTCGAACCTGCAGAAAGGTGTGATGAAAAAAGGGATGCCAAAGAAGTACAATAACCTGTCCATACCTAAGGTCTTAGAAACTGCCAAGCAAAGACTCGCAGCCTTGGGTAGCTGCTTGGAAAGGTATACCAGAAAGACTGAAGCCAGGAGAATAAACTATCCAAGGCACTCTTAGTGGCAGGGAAACAATATGAGAACAACAGCCCCACCAATGCTGGAGACCTAGCAATACTGGAAGACCATGTGGGGGATGGATGCAACCTATAGCAATAATGCTCAGTGGCTAGTAGTAGACATCCGAGAAAGGGTCTTAAGCATGAAGATTTGGACAGCACCAGGCCTTGACATGATACACAGATACTGACTAAAGAAGCTAGAAAGCCTCAAGAAAGCCTCTGACTCAATGACTCACACGTGGATCCTGGAATGCCTAGAACTGTACGAGTACTTTTACTAATCAATCAGAGCATTCGGAGTGCTTTATACAGCATCCCTCATTGACCCATGCACACCCATTAATACAAGCCCTTTTTCTATACTTAAGTGTTTTCTATCCAACATTCACACTTGGATGGATGCATTGGAGGTGTTAATATCTTGCACAAGAATATTTGGTATGCAGTCTGGAGCAGCCAGGGATCAAACAACCAAGAATCCAATTAGTAGGTACTCTAGCTTCTGAACTACAGCCAACCCTGTACATCAGGAAGGTGCCAACAAATGACCATGTGCTTAGCAAACACTTCAGGCATCAGAAACATGAGAAAGAAGAAGAGCAAGAAGGGGAACCATCATGGAAGGACAGGCCCCCGTACAGTATGTACCACCGGCAGATAGAAGAAGTGTCTATTATCAAGAAATCCAACCAATGGCTGGATAAAGCTGTACTGAAAGACAGCACAGAAGCACAAATCATGGCAGCGCAGGAACAAGCTGCAAGTACAAGATCCATAGAAGCCATGGTGTACCACACCAGCCAAGACCCCAAGTGCAAGCTGTGCAAAGATGTCCCTGAGACAATCCAACACATAACACCAGGGTGCAAGATGGTAGCAGGTAGCGCATGCATGGAATGCCATAACCAGGAAGCTGGTATATACAGATATATCTGTGTCATTTATGGTCTGAAAGTAGTGATGAACAAAAAGAGGAAGACGGCCATAGTGATAGATGTAGCTAGGATAGCATCATCAGAAAGAAGAAGCTGAAGAAATACCATGGGCTGAGAGAAGAGCTCGAGAAGATGTGGAGGGTCAAGGCAAGAGTGGTCCCATGTGGTAATCAGAACACTCAGGACAGTGACTCCCAAACTGGGCGAGTGGCTTGAACAGATCCCAGGAATGACATGATCACTGTCCAGAAGAGTGAAGTTCTGGGAACACCAAAGATACTGGACAGGACCCT